TTTAACTCTGATTAAAACTAAAATTTTTGGAAATTTCTGAGATCCTACTTTAAAAATTCTATTTGAGGGTAGCATTGGAGAGAAAGAAATGTAAATAGCAAATAAAATGTATACAGTGTTTTAAAAATGATATTTGCAAAAGCAGTGAAATGTGTTATGTGCAACTTTTAAGACTGATATTATTATATGATGAAAAAAAGAAGGTCTAGGGGCTGGCGCTGTGGCGCAGCAGGTTAACACCCTGGCCTGAAACAGTGGCATCCAAATGGGTGCCTATTCTAGTCCAGGCTGTTCCTTTTCTGACCCAGCTCTCTGCTGTGGCCTGGGAAAGCAGTAGAAGATGGCCCAAGTCCTTGGGCCCCTGCACCCGCGTGGGAGACCTGGAAGAAGCTCCTGGCTCCTGGCTTCGAATCAGCGCAGCTCTGGCCGTTGCAGCCAATTGGGGAGTGAGCAATCAGATGGAAGACCTCTCTCTCTCTCTCTCTCTCTCTCTCTCTCTCTCTTTCTGTGTAACTCTGACTTTCAAATAAATAAACAAATAAATCCTTTAAAAAAAAAAGAAAAGAAAAGAAAGTCTCAAAATTTTAGGGGAAAAATGTTTTCCCTGAGTTTTTAGCTGCTTTAAGGTCCAAACATTTTCTCATTTATATCCTACTACAAAACCTGACTGATAGGCACTCTGTAAATATTTACTCAACTAACCTGAATGAGAAATGGAAAGCAGTATTTTTCTGGGCATTAAAATTGCTGCATTCCCCCACCCACCCACACACACATATCCCTGTTTGTCCTCAGTTTTGAATGTGAAGAAAACTGGTTGATACCAAATTGTGGCGGGAACTAACATTGTTTTAAAGGGAACTTGATGATTTAACCTAGTTCCTTTTTTTCAGGTGTCTAGAGTCTAGAATATAGATTCTAAATTATATGAATGGAATGAGTCTATTTTTTATCTTTGATTTATTGCAAAAAAGGAGATTAAACTAGGATAGAGAGTTGCTTTGAAAAAAAGTAGATTTTCCTGTCTAGTTGTCATTTGTAACAATGCAATTGGAGGGAAGCGAAGTTCCAACTATTAAGTATTAACTGAGGCAAGAATTTAGATTTTCCAGATTAGTTCCATTAAAAGAACAGCAGAATTGCAGTTGTCAGAGTCAAGGTGTCATTGGAAACAGAAGGTTGGGGTAAAAGTTAAAACAGCATTAAGTGAATTTTTTTTTTTTTTTTACACAACAAAAGTTCCCAGAAGATATTCACTTCCAACTGAAGCCATAGAGTTTTCATCAGTGAACACTGTTGAGGAAACATTGCTGTGATATTACAGCGTACTAAATCATAGCAGCCCAACAAGTTTTATATAGCACCATGCCTCTTTAGAAAAGTTCTTGAGTAAACTTAATGACTTGGGATTTGAAGGGTCTTGTGTTTTCATACTCCCATGTTGTATTATCATTATTTAATACATAGCTGCAAAAGTGTCTCATAAATAATCTGGGCTTTTGCAAGTTAATATACTTTAAGAGAATATTTTGTTCTGGTCTTGGTAATCTAGCAGTTGTTGAAAGTATAAAAGTGTAAACATTCTGTTTTCAAGATATAAAGAGGAATCAATAATTGTCATAACTTTTTGTTGCACTGAACAGAAATTTTTTTTCCTCTCTCTCTCTTTTTTTTTTTAAAGATTTATTTATTTATTTGAAAGTCAGAGTTAACAGAAAGAGAAGTAGAGACAGAGAGAGAGTCTTCGATCCGCTGGTTCACTCCTCAGTTGGCTGCAATGACCGGAGCTGTGCCGACCCAAAGTAAGGAGCCAGGAGCTTCTTCTGGGTCTCCCATGTGAGTGCAGGGACCCAAGAACTTGGGCCATCTTCCACTGCTTTCCCAGGCCATAGCAGAGAGCCGGATCAGAAATGGAGCAGCCGGGTCTCGAACCAGGGCCCATATGGGAAGTCAGCAACCTGCTACGCCACAGCACCAGCCCCTGAACTGAATTTTTTCAAGTGGGTTTTTTAATTGTTGCATACAGATATTACCAATCACAATTCATGAGTAATTTTATTTCAATGTACCCTACCCAACTTCCCATTTGTAACTATATGTAAACTTCATCAAGTTTGTGCTGGTTTTCAGTACTTAAAAATTTTAAGACATTAGACAGAGATTCCTTCTCATCTGTTTTGGCCTGCCTAATTTTAAATAATTTTGCTCTAGCTTTTTATACAGGTTCTTAATTCTCTACATATTATCCCAAAAATGTCTGTGCAAACCCACTTACTCAAGGAAAGATTGACTAATATCTCTTCTGGATCTATTCACTCTAAGAAAACCTCTGTCATGCTTAAATACAAATCTCAACATTTGGCACTTGGTTTCTAAACAATCTGAGCAACTTACTTAGCCTAATTTCCTGGTCTGTCATAGGATAGTTGTAAAGATTGAGTTTAGTACACTCATATTTAAAGTTCATAGCACCTGCTTGTTTTCTTCAACTTTCGGAAACTTCAAAGACTTTTAAATTAACTTTAGGGTAAAAGTTCAATTTCTTTTCTGATTTTTTTAAAAAGATTTATTTATTTATTTATTTATTTGAAAGAGTTACACAGAAAGAGAAGGAGATGCAGAGAGAGAAGGCTTCCATCAGATGGTTTACTCCCCAATTAGCTGCAATGTCTGGAGCTGCAGATCCGAAGCCAGGAGCCAGGAGTTTCTTCCAGGTCTCCGATGTGGTTGCAGGGGCCCAAGGACTTGGGCCATCTACTGCTTTCCCAGGTCATAGCATAGAGCTGGATTTGAGGTGGAGCAGCCGGGACTCAAACCGGTGCCAATATGGGGTGCCAGCACTCTAAGTTGTGACTTTACCCACCACGCCACAGTGCTAGACACCCCCTTTTTTTTCAATTTATTTATTTGAAAGATGGGGTTACAGAGAGGGTGAAGCAGAGTCAGAGATCTCCCATCTGCTGGTTCACTCCTCAAATGGCTGCAATAGCCAGGGCTAGGCTGGGCCAGAGCCAGGAGCTTCATACTGGTCTCCCACATGGGTTCAGGGGCCTAAGCACTTGGGCCATCTTCTGCCATTTTCCCAGGAAGGTGGATCAAAAGTGGAACAGCTCAGTGCTCTAATCAGCACCCATATAGGATGCTGGCATGGAAGGTGGCACCTTTACCCACCATTACACAGTGCCATCCCCAGAGTATGAGATTTGAATTTTAAGTCTAACTCTGAATTTCATGATTCCTGGTACAAAACCAATTGGTTTTGGGAAGTCTTCAGCTCTGTTTGTGAAAATATACCTATCATGTAGAATGTTCAAATGACTCGTTTCCCTCAGTTTCTCTGTCTCAAGAAGAAGAGTTACAAATTCTAGGTTTTTCAAATTTTATGTAAGTTCTGAGGTTGCATATGAACAGTGTTTGAATTACAGATATATGCCAGCACCCTAGTGGTTCTTAAGTTAATTAGCAAGTTTGTGTTTTGTTTTACTTTTATTTGAGAGTCAGAGAGAAAGGCAAGGGCTCCCATCCCCAGGTTTACTCTCCGGATGCCCTTAATAGCCTGAGCTGGACCAGGGCCATTGCTGAGAGTCAGGAAGTCATTCCAGGTCTCCCTTGTTGGCGACAGGGACCCAATGAGACATCCTTGCTGCCTCCCAGGGTCTGTAGTAGGTTTTTGTAATGGGAAGTAGTATATTTGTGTGCTTGTTTATTTATTGCAACAGCTTTATTGATGTATGATTTATGTTTCATACAGTTTATTCACTTGAAATGTACGCTTTAGTTGTTTTTAATATAGTGCAGCGAATGTTGTAGCCATCAGCACAGTCAATTTTAGACCATTTTTATCACTTGGAAAAAATAAACTTCATACCTTTGGCCACTACCTTTCAATCCCCTGTTCTACCTTCTGTCCTAACTCTGGTAGCCACTAATCTACTTTGTGTCTCTAGATTTGCTGGTTTTGGACATTTCATATGAATGGAATTATACAATAAGTGATCTTTTGTGCTTGATTTCTCTTTGCAAAAAGTTTTCAAGGTTCATACTATGTTGTAGCATCTATCAATACTTTATGCCTTTTTATCACTAATATCCGATTTATGTATATATTCTGGTTTTTTGCTATTATGAATAATGTTGCTTTGTTTGAACATCATGTAGTGTTTGTGTGGACTTAAGTTTTTTTTTCTCTTGGGTTTATACCTGAGAATTGAATTCCTGGATCATACGATAACTTTATATTTAATCTTGTGCAACAGCCAGGTTGTTTCTAAATCAGCTACAACATTTTACTTTCCCACTAGCAGTGATTCAGGGTTCTAACTTTTCCACATCGTTTCCAATATTTTTCATTATCTGACTTTTTTATTAGAGCCATCCTAGTGAATGTGAAGTGGGATTTCATTGTGGTTTTGATTTGTATTTCCCTGATGTATACTGATGTTGAGCATCTTTTCATGTATTTTTTGGCTGTTTGTTTAACTTCTTTGGAGAAATTAATGTTTGAATCCTTTGCCAGTTTTTTAAGTTTACTAATATATTTGAGAAAGAAACAAATATATAAACAGAAAGAGGAAGAACACTCCCATTTGCTGGTTCACTCCCCAGATGCCTACAACTGAATGGCCCAAAGCCAAGAATTAGGAGCTCGATTTAGGAACTCAACTACGTGAGCCATCAGTGCTACCCCCCTCCCCCCCCCCCACCGGAGACCTCATTAGCAGTAAACTGGAATCTAGAGCTGGAGCCAGGTTTTGAACCTAGAAACTCCATTGTGGGACATGGGTGTCCTAAATGATATCTTAACCACTAGATCCAGTGACTACCCCTGCCAATTTTTGTTGAGTTATTTAAATTTTAATTACTGAGTTGTGAGTCCTTTAAATATTCTAGATAGTATAAATCCCTTATCAGGGCTGGGACTGTGGCACAGTGGGTTAACGCACTGGCCTGAAGTGCCGGCATCCCACACGGGTGCTGGTTCTAGTCCGGCTGCTCCATTTCTGATCCAGCTCTCTGCTATGGTCTGGGAAAGCAGTAGAAGATGGCCCAAGTCCTTGGGCCCCTGCACCCGCGTGGGAGACCTAGAAGAAGCTCCTGGTTCCTGGCTTCAGATTGGCACAGCTCCTGCCATTGTGGCCGATTGGGGAGTGAGCCATCAGATGAAAGACCTCTCTCTCTCTCTCTCTCTCTCTCTGCCTCTGCCTCTCCTTCTCTCTGTGTAACTCTGACTTTCAAATAAACAAATTTAAAAAAAATCCCCTATCGATAAGATTTTGCAAACATTTTTCCCATTTGGGTTTTCTATGCAGTACATTGGATTTCTAGATTTCTTTTGTTTATTTATTTATTATTTATTTCTAGATTTCTTTTGTTTATTCAGGTAAGGAAAGTCACAAAGTGGAAGTGTGAACAGCCAATTTTGGGAGGATTGCCCCATCTAATGTGTAAAAAAAAAAAAGAAAAAAAATGCATCTCCATGGCACCTGTCACAAAACTTTGTCTAATTATTAGTTTTCGCTTTATGGTATAACATTATAACAACATACAACATAAAATAGAGCTACAGGTAAATACTTGTGTAGCTCAGGTAATAATACCTCCACAGCGCAAAGTATGAGTTACCTGTTTGCTAATGGCTCTGTTCCTTAGTGCCTCTGATGTTGCCTCCAATGAAACAAACTCTGATACGTGAGTTGAAAGATCTGTTGGGTTGGCACCGTGGCTCACTTATCTAATCCTCTGCCTGCAGTGCCGGCACCCCGGGTTCTAGTCCCGGTTGGGGCACCAGGTACTAGTCCCAGTTGCTCCTCTTCTAGTCCAGCTCTCTGCTGTGGCCTGGGAGGGCAGTGGAGGATGGCCCAAGTGCTTGGGTCCCTGCCCCACATGGAAGACCGGGAGGAGGCACCCAGCTCCTGGCTTCTGATCGGCGAGCACCGGCCGTAGTGGCCATTTGGGGAGTGAACCAATGGAAGGAAGACATTTGTCTCTGTCTCTCTCTCACTGTCTATAACTCTACCTGTCAAATAAAAAAAAAAAAAGATATTTTGGCTAGCTTCCTACTTATCTCTATGACCTTCATCAAATGACTTACCCTCTCTGGATATGGATTTTTCTCTTCTGTAAAATGTGAGAATTGAAAGGAAGTTTGAAAAGTGTACTCTTTATAGTTATTAAGTTTATAGTAACAGTAGTTTTTTTGTTGTTCTTGTCCTTAATAGGGATAAATTATTAAACCTTGTTAAAATCTTAGACTTAATATATGTTTTCTCAAAAAGATTGGAGTTAGATGGATTTGACTAAAAAACTGGGCACATGCAGATATTCAGTAATGATTAAAGTAGTAAATGCCAGCTACGTGATTAGCATTGTAGGTTAAAGGAACATGACCTAAGCATTCCCAATGAGGTAGAACTAAAGGGATAATTTACATGCCTGCTGAGGGTGTGGCTAAGGTAAAGGAACTATGAGGAAGAAGTCCTTGATCACGTCTTCAGACGTGTTGTTTAGAGAAAGAACAAACTCTCAGAGGTCAATTGTGTCCAAAAGGTGAAAACAAAACTTAGACTACAGCCAAATAGAAAAATAGAACCATAAGGGAAAAAACATCTGAAAGGCTTGGAAATTGTGAGGTAAGTGTTCTTTGTTTTGTTTTGTTGTAAAATGTTTGCTAAAAGTTTTTGGGGTACTGAAAGTTTATCCATTGGTTCCTGAGCTCAGCTGAGAGGAAAAATAAGACCTGTAAGCCATGCCAGATTTGGAGGAGTAGCTAAAGGGTCATGTAGAATCAGGTCCATTTGCCAAAGTTTGGTAACTGCTTCCTACCAGCCAAGAAAGCTACTTTTGTTTTGGTTATGTTTTGTTTTTGTTTTTGTGGTTGACTGGCCTCCCTGCTACTTTTAATCAAGCATCATTGTTAATAAAGCACATGTGAGAAGTAAGAAGAAAGTTATTTTTTAAAAAATCTAGTCAGAATTCAGATTGGGGAAGAAAAGCTTAGAAATTTAATTCTAACCCTTTTTATCCTTATAAAAAATGGGTCTTTGTTGCATTATAAAAATAGTTCATTATAAACACTTAGAAAATATGGAAGTTTTATCTTTATTTTTAGTGTTCCAAACTCTTTAAGAAAAATATTTTTTAAAGATTTATTTACTTTATTTGGAAGTCAGAGTTACACAGAGAGAGGAGGGAGGGGGGGAGGGAGAGTGAGAGGTCTTCCATCTGCTGGTTCACTCTCCAATTGGCTGCAATGGCCAAAGCTGTGCCAATCTGAAGCCAGGAGCATCCTCTGGGCCTCCCATGTGGGTGCAGGGGCCCAAAGGCTTGGGCCATCTTCTGCTGCTTTCCCAGGCCATAGCAGAGAGCTAGATTGGAAGTGAAGCAGCCAGGACTCCAACCGGCTCCATATGGGATGTTGGCACTGCAGGCAGTGGCTTTACCCGCTGTGCCATAGCGTGGGCCCCAAGAAAAATATTTTTCTATAGGACATTGTTTAGTATAAACACAGAGCTGAAATACATAAAAATCTTTTATTCTTTGAATGCTCTGTTTTCTTTATTTTTATTTTATTTATTTCTTTATTTTTTTTGACAGGCAGAGTGGACAGTGAGAGAGAGAGAGAGAGAGAAAGGTCTTCCTTTGCCGTTGGTTCACCCTCCAATGGCCGCCATGGGGTGCACCGCACTGATCCAAAGGCAGGAGCCAGGTGCTTCTCCTGGTCTCCCATGGGGTGCAGGGCCCAAGCACTTGGGCCATCCTCCACTGCACTCCCTGGCCACAGCAGAGAGCTGGCCTGGAAGAGGGGCAACCGGGACAGAATCCGGTGCCCCGACCGGGGCTAGAACCTGGTGTGCCGGCGCCGCAAGGCGGAGGATTAGCCTATTGAGCCACGGCGCCAACTTGAATGCTCTGTTTCTAATCATTAAGGTGATAATGATGATGCCAGATAAGGTATGGACACCTTTATTGTCCTAGAGTTAAGCAAAATGATGAGTTGATATGTTGTAGAATTGTAGGTCCCCAGATTTTGTTATGGCATCAAGTTTGAGGGATAGAGAGTCACCTATATCCTATTTGGTATGAGTATAGAACCTGTCATCTCCAGCTTCTTGAGGAATTTCATCAGCATAGACTCATATGACAAAGCAGGATCACCAAATAGCAAAGAGTCTTAGAATATGTCCAGATCATTTTTATAGGTATGTTTCCTGGACGGGAGATATGTCTACATTGAATGTAAACAGGATACTTTAGCAGGTTTATTTCACTGCAACGTACTTGGGCTGCTGCCCACAAAAGGAGAAGACAAGTTAGGCGGATTTACTGAAGAACAGCTTCAGGGGATGATACACAGTTACAGAATGCTGGGAAGCAACAGAAGTAAACTTGAAGTTAAAATATAGTTTGTTTTGTTCCAAGGCATTAAGTGACAAGTTACTATTACAGTGATGTTCTCTTTAAAAAATGATAATCCTGCTATGAACCAGAGCTGTTGTCCTATGGGCACATTCTGAGAAGGCTTGCAGATAAAATTGAAGCCACCAAAATTATTTTTATTTGACTTTTGTTAATTGGTTCCAACTAAGGTTAACAAGGGAACTTCCTGACTTTCCACTGAGATACTATTAGCAAGGTACTGCTCAGTATGGTGTGACTCAATTAATTATCAAATTGTCTAGTTGACCATTTACATAGGTAGCTATGAATTCTGAGTATCGGTACTGACTATACAGTGCTGGTAGACTGTTTATTACTCTTTACAATAGAACTGGACACTTGAGGATTACTAAAGAACTTTAATAAGAGATTATCAGGTACTTAGACTCAAGTTGAAATTGAATTTAATAGCTGGATGGTATAGGTGATTTGCATATGCAACTTATTGAATAAATGTGAACCAGCATTTATACTTGTAACTTCAGTATTTTTTAAAGAAAAATCTTACTGTAATTAAGCACAAAACAAGTTCATCATTGGCTTTAGAGGAAAAATAGACTATGTACAGCCATTCCTTGTTGGAAAACTTTTTTTTTGTTTTGTTTTTAAAGCAGTAATTCCTCACACGGAACTTACAAGTAAGATAATTTGAGAGCAGAAAAAGTCAGTATGATGCCTTTGGTAGCTATTTGATGAAGCTTATCCCATCTCAGATTACCTCTGGGTACTGCTATTGTTTCTCCATGTTAATGAAAACCAAATTAATCTAATTGGTTTTAAATAAATTAATTAAAAGTATAAAACTGGAAGCAAACAGGCATGATAATTGGAAATGTGATTGAATGCTCAGCTGTTTTTATGTCTGAGATAATACAATATTTTATGATCAGATCAAAGCAATAAGATCCATATAATAGTGCTAAAAGGGCACTCTTTCTTTACATATGAACTGTATTTATTCTGTTTTTGTTTTTTTTGTTTTTTTTTTTTTTAAAGATCTGTTTATTTATTTGAAAGGCAGAGTGACATGCAAAGAAGAAGAGGGAGACAGACAGATAATCTTCCAACTGATGGTTCACTTCCCAAACGACAGCCAGGAACTCTATTCGATTCTCTCATGCGTGAGGCAGGTACTCAAGTACTTGCGCCATCATCTGCTGCATCTCACAGTGCCCATTAGCAGGGAGTTGGATCTGGATTAGAAGCAGAGCATTGTGGACTCAAACGCACTCTGATAGAAGATGCAGGTGTCTCAAACAGTGGCTTATCCTCTTGTACCACAACACCCACCCCCTTCTGTTTTTTTTTTTTTTTTTTTTTTTTTTTTTTTTTTTTTATGGGCTGTTTCTTAGCAGATTATATAACAGATCTGTTAAAAGCTACTTTACTATCCTGAAAAAGTGGTTCATTATCTTCATTTCATTTCTATCATTTACAGAGCATTTATATAGTTCATTTTTAAAACGTAGGATATTGTCTTGTGAAATACCTTATTCCATATTTGATATTAAGCCTGTGTTAAAATTATTCCCTGCTTCTTCTTAGTTCCATTTCTTCCCTTTTGGGCTACAGACTTCCTTAGGGAGGAGGGTGAGGGAGAAGTGAATTTTTCATCAGCCAATAGAATCTAGAATTACGTTGTGTTTGCCTGTTTTGCGTAACACAAGCCTACCCACACACATTGTGAAGTTCTTAAATGAAAGAATACTGAGCAGACAGCTATTCAGCCTGTGATTCTAAGTGTAATTGGCAGATGCTTTAATGCTATCTGGATTTTATCCTCTGTAAGAAGGTTGTTTGTCTAGCTTGTGGTGATGGCAGTGGAATAAAGAGGTAGGTGTTCTGTGGCTAAATTTTAAGTGTTACTTTGTCAATACTTCAGGTTAAAGAAAACTTGCAAAAGGAATGATTTGAAGCATAATTAGATGATTTATATTTAGTTTTTTCATATTCAGTTTTGGAGTGTGTTGTATGAATTAAATTCCCTTCCATCTTAGGAAATGGGTGGAATAAATCTCAAACTCCAAGGTTTTTGCTTTCTTAAAGGGGACTTACACTATTAATCTCATCTCTCATCAGGCTTGAAAGAAAACCCAAGTAATATGACTACAGTTGATTATTAGTCTAGAAGACTGTTTTTTCATACCAAACTGGAGTTTTTCCATGTTTGAACTTAATGCTATTCATGGTTTTCAATTATGAAATTTGAGAATTAAATCATAGGAGAGGAAAAATTTTAAAGACATTTAAAAATATTGGCAGTCATGCTTTATGGGAATTTTAAGTAGTATGATAAGGGGAGTTTTATTAATTCCAGGTATGTTGATTGATAACAGGAACTCTTTCTGCTAAGAAGTAAGTAGTCATAAGTTTCCCAGCAGTGTTCTTTTGTGAAGCATTTCACTTTTACCACAATAAAAGGCATAACTGACATTTTTTTTTATTTCTATAGGAAATTCCTGAAAAGCTTAATCTAATTTCTAGAATACTGCCATGCTGCCCAATAATGCATGGTAGTCTGATCAGTTTTCTGATCTATGCATATGTGAGGAGGAAGTATTGATAATCTCATTACATGTATGAAATGCATGTTAAGTCAGTGACAAGAGAAAAGTAAGTTAGAGGCAAGTTGTTCGTAATAATTTACCTAATTGGGGTGGTGTGATAATTTGAGTGGAGAAAGGAAATTCATAGAATTGTCTCAACTCTACATACTTATTCTTGTTGCAATGGAAAGGGTTACACAGGCATACCACACTGATTTAAAATATTCACTGGAGTTGGGGGGAGATGTTCTTAGCCTCCCATATGCCATGTCTCTAAATTAGTGCTATAAAAATTTATGGAAAAAAATGATTTGGTCAAAGAAAAATCAGCTACCACTTTTAAGAACTTTTCATGAGCCAAAAGAAAATCAAAACAAATTTTCGCTAATGGGAAATGAAACTTGTTCATTAGTGAGACAGTCATGTCATCTTTTTTTTTCAATTTTTAAAGATTTATTTATTTATTTTTAAAGTCAGAGTTACACACAGAGAGGAGAGCCAGAGAGAGAGAGAGAGGTGTTCTATCCGCTGGTTCACTCCCCAGTTGGCCACAGTGGCCAGAACTGCCAATCCAGAGCCAGGAGCCTCCTCCAGTTCTCCCATGCGAGTGCAGGGGCCCAAGGACTTGGGCCATCTTCTACTGCTTT